GAGCCCAATTACAGAGCCATAATGAGACAATAAATTCTTAATATTGCTCCCCTGGCCATTTGTACTTGTGCAGCATTTTCTTAGGTAGAACCGTATTATGGAAGCAACAACGTTTTTCACCAGCACAAGCACAAATGGATCATGTCTTATATATTCTGGCTGAGCCGGCAAAGTCTCAAGAAATTAATTCAGTCCGTGAGCAATTCCTCACAACCTACTAATATAAAAGCCTACATCATAAAAATGCAATAGGTAGAGACCAGCTTAGCTTGATTATTTCTTTTTACTGCCTTAAATTCCAATAGCTGAAGCTGGAAAGAACTGGACTCATAAAATGGCAAATAAGAAACGTTTACTGGATGTTGCATTAAAGACACGATGTACCATAAAACATGGGTGGCATTAGTTCTTGAGCTAGTTACCTTTTCCTGTTTAAGATGACTGCTGATACAGTTCTGGATGCAAGGTACCAGAGAACAAAAAGTCTATATTTAAGAGAGTTGTGTTGTCACAGGAATCCCATCTACTATCCCTACCTCTCCCTCCAAGCTGTCTAGCCCTGAAAGTGGGTAAGCACAGGTCAGACAAGGGATATGTAAATCACAAAGCACTGCTTTGTCCAGCCACACCATACATAAAATGCTACCACCAGCTCACTCCCCCTTCTCTGAAATGAAAGTACCGCTCAATCAGATGAGATAGCTAGCTGTGCTCAACACTGCCGGGCTGCTTGGTCCTGAGCCCATCATCCTGGTTTCTTGCTCTGCTCTAAATTTTAGTTTGTATTTCTGCCCCTGCAATAAAATCCCTCCATAGCTCATCACAGAAATATATCTGCAAATATGTGACACAGAGTGATTAGGAGTGATGAAACTGAGCATGTGAGCAGCCTGGTCTTGGTGCAGGGCTAAGAGACAAGCCCAGAACAATGTTAGGTTGGTGATTTACTGAGACCGTAAAGAAACATATACCTTTTCTCCCTAGACCCCATAACCTGCAGCTGACCATAGATGTGGCTCAGATGAAGTCTAGAGGCCAGATAATAAAATCTCACTAAGGATATCAGTTTTTTGCTCCTGGCAAGTGTGTTTAGAGAAAGAGACTGAGTGACAGAGCGCATTCTCTGGATCTCTCTTTCACCAGACAGAACAGCATTTGCCCCTTAGCCTGCTGCGGACTACCCTAAGGGATATCTGTCTTGGACGCAGTGCAGCACAGTCTCCTGTTACAGCTGGCAGCCAGCATCAGGTGCCCCACAGCCAAGGGTGAGTGCAAGACCTCCTCATCAGGCAGGTACTAGATAGTCACAAGTTTCAACCTGGTCTTTAAAAACTAGAAGCTGTATTAAGTCCTTTCCAAGTACATCCCAAGTATGCGTTTTCTAGCAGCTGGAATTTGCACTAGGTAAGATTGATTGTCTGTGTCAAACCAGTGCTGGTAATTGCCAAACTGCTTGTGGATGTTTGTGTGTATGAAACTCTTTCAATCCCTATTTTCAAGCACCTGCTAATTCAGCTGTGAGCTCATTTATCTTTGCGGTGCAGCTACCACTATTCAGTGACCCAGTCACTCTGCTGACTACTGCCCCTGAACAAAAGTCATGAGATAACACAGTGAAGTGTAGATTGCACTAAAAATGAGTGAGATCGTGGCTTAATAACAAAAAGCAGCTTGAGTCCCCAATACCTTCTGATTACATGTATTACACTGACACCGAGTTCATGCACATGCTATCCCCTTTGTGTTCAGCCTTAGAAAAGCTGTTAGTAAAAGAGCCCATAAAGGCATTGCCAATGTGAATGGACAGATTCTGCTGTTGTTAATTACGCTGTTTTAGTGCTGCCTTTATTTATGCTATTTACCTTACAAGTGAAGAGCACACTGAAGTGAAGATAAGACTGAGACAGAAGGTAAGAACTAGCTTACAAATGCCAGGAACGGGAAATGGAAGAAGAAAGGTAAGAAGATGCATCAGCCTTAGCCCACCTGGTTATGGCTGCACGGCAAAAAGCCATAAAAACAGACATACAAAGAAGAAGTCTCACAGTTTCTGCAGTTAACGTCATCTTATCGTTATCAGGTGACTAGTTACCCCCGGCATCTCAGCAGCTCTGGAAGGAGGACTTCAAAAGGACATGACAGTGGAATGGAGTTTGGGGGAAGGATGAAACTCTTGTCAGCGAGTTTCTCCTTGAGCTGGGTTCCCACGTATGCTGGCAACAGAGTAAATGGTACCTGTGTCTGCCAACTCAGTCAACTGCATATTCCCCGTAAGAATTTCGTATCACTCCCACTTATTTATTTTTAGTTTATTGCATTAGAAGCAAGGATATTAATCTTGCTCTGTGCAAGATTACATCTCCTTCTAGGACATTTGAAAGTATTGCTTTTAGTTTAATAACACGTTTTTATTCTCAGCATGTTGCTTCCTCCCTGCCAATATTTCAGCTTCATCACTAATTCATGAACCATCACTGGTGAGAATCAGCCCTAGACTGAGAAAAATAATTCCTACATTTATTTGTCTCTCGGTTTATAAAACATACTTTTCTCTTTAATAAGAAGGGGTTTTATTCTGAAAAATGATCATAAATTAGATTTACATTTGTACAGTCAATAGAGAATTTGGTGCATATATTACAGACCTAAACTAGATAAAAGGATATGATATCATGATAGTCTTCCTTTACATGCAGGAAAGTCTGTAGTGGGTTTTTCAAAGCACCGCAGAGAGTACCCAGCATCCACTGACATCTTGAAATATCTTTAGAAAATCTGGCTCTCCACAGAAAGAGATGAGAACAAACTATACCCAAAAAACCTTCTATGACAGGAAATGTAGCGAGCAAAATAAGGGAGCAAAATAAAGCTATGATCACAATGCAAAGGGATTTATTTGGGATGGAGCTGCCTCTTTCATGCACATATTGCCAGGAGATAGCTGGGATACTGCCACTATAAAATTAAGCGTAATTGTCCCTGGACAACAATATCTTTCTTAGGCAGAATCCAGTATCATTCCTTCTGCTCTCTAATTCTGCAATGTCTGTTTGACATAACTGCTTTCCTAATGCAGGCTCTCCTCTTAATTTTATGCTTTCTGACAAGGTACAAAAGCAATCCTTCCCAGAGCACAGCTCACTGGCACCATTCTCTCTCCTTTGCAAGCATTCAACCCAAGAGATCGCAGGGCCCCGTCTGATCTTAATATTGCAAATTATTTCTTAAAGAGAATTACAAACATTTCTAAGGGGAAGGCATTAAAAAAGTAATATGCCCAACACTCCCAAGTATGGGACTATGACCAGACAATAAAACAGAAGAGAAAAATCCCTTCTCCTATACTTAGCATTTAAAGAGAAGGTTAATTCCAGTGTAACTCCACAAACTAAAGCATATGGTGATACCATAACAAGTTAATCGAAAGGTCTTTTAAATACCAAACTGCAAAAAAACATGACTACAGTTTAATATCTGCTGCTCTTGAGAAGGTAAAATACCTCTATGTAGTTCAGTTTGCATTCCCCTGCCAAGGTTATTAGTGCCTTTTCTGTTACTTTTAGATGAGTTCTGCATGGGAGGAGAATAACACAAAAATTATATGGGAATTATTCTATATTCAGAGTTTATGTCTGCTCCAAACAACATTAGTGGAAAGAAGATCAAGTATCCACTAACTACAAGACATCAAGGTATTGCTAAAAATATTTCAACTGTGTCGCATACCTAAGAGATTCTCCCCAAGACAGGGCTATTTAAGGGGATCTTTATGGAAACACTAGATAAATGAAAGAAAGTCATGAGAAGAAACACAGCTTGTGTAAGATGACTTCAGAGGGACTTTGAGCTTGTCAGAGGTTTGTAAAGCTTATACTACAAAACTAAGCAGAAAAGAAAAATTTGTGACAAGTCTTCCTGTGTTATTGCAGTACATTGCCAATTTTACGGGCGAGAGCATGAAGATGACTATAATTCATCTGTTATAGGCAAAACATTTGAGGCTTAGGATTTGAGAAAGCTTTAGATGCTTCACTGCCTACCACAGCAGTAGATTTAATTATCATGTCACAAAACATGGTAAACTGAATAGGCTGCTCACAGCGAGGTGGTGATGAAGAGTGGGAGAAACTGGCACAAGCAAGAGGAAGAAAGAATTCAGATCAAAAAATGAGTAATTGCGGAGCTCCCACACAAAACCACCCCAGATGTTCTGGGGAATTTCAGATCTTTTCATTATGGAAACCCATCTACAAACAACCAAGGGGAGGAGGCTCATTCCCTACAGCACCAGGAGCCGCTGTGGTTGTCCTGGCTGCATGACACCAAAGAGATGGAGACAGAGCCACACAAGGTTTGTTTGTTTGTTTTGGACTGATTTGTTTTCTTTTTGAGTTGTGGCACACATTTTACCCAACCTTCTAATAGAGTACAAGTTTAATAGATTCCAGGATGATCCTGACAGACCACAGACTATTCCTAGAAGGAGGTGGAAAGGTGGGAATAAACAAGGAGGCTCCTGCTACTGGGGAATAATATTACTCCATGGACATCTGAACAGTTGTGGTTCAATCACAGCTATCATGACCATGTATGAGTGACCTGAAAGACACTACCAATCCAGAACGATAATTAAACTGGTAGGCACACCAAAAAAGACAATGTGATGTCAGTAGTACAGCTGGATGTTTCAGCCTGGGGAATATTTACAGGATCAGGCTCTTCCAGCCTATGAAAAGCATATGTAAGCTGACTAGAGATAAACACAGTTCCATGCAAGAAAGCACAGTGTCCCGAGACTAAGCAATAAAAGCAATGCCACAATATTGCAGGGAGAACATCAATAGACCTTGGAATACGCCAAATGTTGGTACAGCTTACACAATTGCATTGTGTTCTGCAACATCTATGGGAGTACCATGTATTCCCAAGTCATTGGTTTCAGTGTAAGTGTGTACATATCATTCTGCCCCAGTACTCAGATTATTTAATAAGACTGTTACCTTGTTCACACCATCTGCCATCGCTTGCAGTGTTAGCTCTCTAGGTCCATCCACAGTCTTTCCGTTATCAGTTGGTCCCCAGCTGGCACTATATATATCTATGACTTGAGGCATATGACTGATAGAGGAAGCCTCAATAATGTCTGTCATAAACGGCTGGTCGAGCATTCGAATACCTGTAGATTCAATCAACATAAACATGAATTATGCATTATCCAGCACAAGATGAAATCTCAGCAACTCGAGAAGTCCCCCAGTTACAGGTATTTTAATTCACTGGCAGTTTCACCCACTCAGTAATCCCGCACTCGCCATTCACATTTCACCAGGGTGTGCTTACCCAGCAGGATGGCAGCACTTAAACATCCAGCCACAGCAATGCAGCGTGGCCCAGAAAGAGAAAGCACTTTATTGTTAGCTTTCTAATTACATAGTATTTTCCATCTACTGTTTGAAAACACTTTTAAAACAGTAGTAGTCAGCAATCTCACTGTTTCATAGCATGTAAATAGTATTAATATTATTTAAAATAGTATTTTGTAACAACTAGGGAAAAGGATTAAGCTCCCCTCCATCTCTAATTTATACTCAGTGATCTGTTGACTCTTCATTAGTTTTTCAAGTAATTTTTCCGTTTATTTTGGTTCTTCTCCAGAATTTAATCAGAGAGGGGAAACACACTACACAACAATTTCCTGGAAAATATCATTGTGTCAACATGCAGACGCAATAGCAAAATATGGCCAGTATTTAGATAAAAAAGCAAACTAAAACCTGCTTCCTTTAACCCGTACTGCAGTAGAAATCAAGTTAAATCAATACAATCCTAGGATATTCCAACTTCATAAAACCTTAAAGAGTTGGCCCTAAGCAAGCCAGAGTGTGACAAAGACAGCAGCGCAAGCCCTCACATCCACCATGCCCCCCACACAGGACAGTTTCACTGATAGCCAACCTCTCAGTGGCCTTTGGATGAGACCTGAGTAACCAGGGACACATTCCAACTCTCACTTGTAGCCTTGAGTTGAAGTTCAGTTTTTCCCAACAGTTTTAGGACACAGATGGGACAGAAATCAATACCACAGAGTCCAACAGTGTGAATGGCAGCAAGGACCCTGATTTAGAAACCAGTGCTTTTACTACATTCAACATGAAATCCACGTACCAAATGTGAGGCTGCAAAAAGTGGTATAAACTTCAAACAGAAACCAGACCAAAGCTGGATATTCCCGATATGCTAATTCAGAAATTACGAAGTCAAACTCAATGAGTGAGAAATCCCTTCATGTGCATGTAAAATGCAGACCTGCACTAAAACCACAGAATTAATTATTGACCCCAGGGAGGTGGAAGAGCAACAGGAGGAGCCAAGCCACATGGTTTGACTTTAGGGCAAAAAAGAGGTAGAGGAAGCAAAACACACGATGCCCCCAGATTTCCAATTCCACCTGCAAACATGGACCTTGAATCACAGCAGCAGCAGACTCTCAGCTCTCATGAGCTTCCAAGTTCCCACTGACCACACGGTGGTGCTACAGCTGTATGCTGTCCTCGGGCAGGAAAGGCTGGCTTTTCCAAAAATCGGTGGGGATTTTACTACAAAGTATGGAAAGCTGTTTGTAGGCTGTTGGTCAACAGAAAAGGCCTTCACCTCTTGATTTTTAAGCTTGAAGTTGTAGAGTTATACTAATAATACAGATGAGGTCCAGCCAAAATCCCATGCCTCAATTCACATTCCTCTAAAAGTAGCTATTGCCAGAATGTAAATTTTGTGAAATGTCCCATCCCTGAAGGGGACGTTACCATTACTGAAGAAAGGGGACAAGCACTAGACCTGCCTGGCCAGTTACTAACTCTCAGTGATATTTCTTGGGGTAACAGCTTAGCAAACATTGCTTGGTGCCCTTCTATCATGGAGATTCAGCTTTAGATTGTGTAGGTGACAGGTGAAATGTAGCCTTCCCCAGATTCTTCTGACACTGCGGTGAAACAGGGACTGGCCAAGCAGAGCAGAGCTGCCCATGCAAACACACTGTGAACCATTCCCAGGAAGCAATGGGTGCATCCACACTGGTGTTTTGGTGTGGAACAGGGAATGAAAGTGAAATTCATAAGCTCCTATGTCTGCTTGCTGTGCCTCGGTTCTCATCATGGAACAGCCTTCGAGTGGGAAAACTGGATTTCTTCAGATTAAACTAAACCGACACATGCTGTCCAAGAGCCTAGCTCACTCCAATCACTGTATTCAGTCTATCAGTGCAGACAAGAGCTGGTTAGAAGTAAAAATACCCAACACACCCAAGGTGTGAATGCTGGGCACTAGGCACCACCCATTTCATTCTGTGCATCTGCTCCTACCACTCTGCATTGTTTGTTAAAACAGAGGAAACCAACGACCACAGAGATTTACAGCACTGCAGGTCCTGCCCTGTGAGAGCCTAAAGAATAAGAGCAGCACGGGATTTGCCTTTTCAAATACTTTCTAAATGCAGCAGGAATTTATATTTTACTTCCTGCAAAATGAGATTTGTCACAGATGATTCTGCAACTACGCACTGAAAATCAAGTATACAAACAGGAGTTGGCATAAGAAGGAGCAGAACTGTTCCTTTGCAATGTTATTAAAGAGGCTATATAAGACCCTCAATTGAAAAGGCAAAGCCATGCAGAAATTCCTCTCCCCAGCTACTGTGAAAAGTAATAAACACATGGCCCAATGCCAACTTACAGTCCTGTCCTGGGCAATGCTCCCTGTCTCTGCAGGAGAAGTTCTGCCTGAGGCACAGTGGCGTATGGACCATTTACACCTTGAATTGCTACCGTACCTGCCACCTTGGAGTTATACGCAACTCCCACGCCGCAGATGTTGTTGTTGGCAGCAGCAGACACCTCTCCCGCACACCTCGTCCCGTGGCTGCAAAAGGGAAGACAGAGACACCACGTGAGCCCCAGATAACGCATGTGCTGCATTGAGCTGGATCACCGCGATCTGGTTTTTGCCTCATAGTCAGCTCCCAGCACTTCAGAAGAAAACCGCTCCATGGCAAACTGTTGAGTGCTGTACTTGGATACTCGGATGAGCTCATGCCCTCCTGAAGCAGGAGATAATCAATTTCCCCTCTGCAGTATGAGCACTGCTTGCTCCAAGGTTAACGTGCATAGTTATGCTTCATTTAGCTGTAAAGTTATTCAGACCTTTTCTTTTTAACTCTGTCAAACACGTTCTGCTTTGTTACCAACTATTAGTCAGTAGAAACAGTCCCTTGACAGAACAGCATAAAAGTAAGATCAATACTAATTCCTTTATTTTTGTGACTTGACAGCGTGATACCTGTTATTTTGTACCCCACAGAACAAAGTCTGATTGCCTTTTTGCTATTCAAACATGTATCAGGAGCGTATCACTGCCCACAAAAAAAAAATGCTATGGAAGGAGGTGGGTGCGATATTGAGCTGGAGTAGCAGAAGGGAGCCACAAGGGTCACTGCACTCCTCAGCAGCAGAGCTGTGGCCCGGCTGGCCAGGCCCACAGCTGGCCAGACCCAAGGCACGTGCATCCCTCTCCTCCAGTGCCTAATTCCCAGGAGAGCTGACAAGGTGCTCCAGCTGTCAGCTCAGGGAGCTACTGCTTTCTGCTCAAGTGGGAAATGTCTCTGCTCTGACACGGAGGTCCAGGTTAGGGCTGAGACACGGCATTTCGAGAACACTTGGCGTCTCTGAAGTGCTTTACAGCTCTTAACAGAGACCCTTTAACTGGCAGTGGCTCTGAGGCAGTCCTGCAGGAAGGCAGATTGCATTTTCCTTTCTTCTAATTCATCAGAGAAATTAAACCACAGAGAAGATAAATATGGACAATATAATCTGGTTTTAAAAAAATAGCACAGCAGCAGAGAAACTAGTGAAACCTGTGCTGCTGTCAGGTTTTTTTTAAGATGTTGAATCAATATGAATCCATCCTACTGCTCACATCAATCCACTCTGTGCATTAAAACTGGCATTGCTCCTATAGCATGCTACGGATTCACGCAATTAGCAGTGCTGTACTATAAAGGCTATATGGAGTACCAGATGAACCATCCCAGGAGGCAGGAGAATTGTTTTGTTTTAATCATCTTTTTTCTCTCTCTCTCCCCCTTTAAGCATCTCTGGCAAACGTGAGTGTAACATTAACAAAGTGGTGAGAAGCAACACATTCTTTTTCCGTCTGTACTTGGAAGAATATATTTTTAAAGGCAGCTCCATGAAAGAAAAATGACTGGCCTTGAATGTACACAGTGTCTTGATCATGAAAGGGTGAAGATCTCTTGCAAGTTCCCTTTACAAAGAGGCCAGAGAGGAGAACAATACAGATTTCTTATTCAACTGCTGGAGAAATTTCTTTCAACAATCAAGCAGGTTTTCCCTCATGCCCTTGTTCAAGGAACTGTGAAAAAAATATACCGTTGCTAGGCATTCATTATCTAGTCACCTGTGGGCTAGCTACAAGCCACGGAGCAGAATAAATGGCTTTGTTAAAAAATTGTCTTGACTGATGCTGGGGTGCAAAAAATCAGTGACACTGCCAGGTGAGCTCTTTCTCTCACAGAGGGAAAAAGCTGTCTTAGGACCTTCCTGGTGAAAAGATTTTATCAGAAGGTCCTCTCCCCGACCTCGCCTCCCCAGCTCACTGGCCCACATGATGGAGACTGCATGCAGACCTGTTCCAGCAACTCAGGGTTTAGATACCGTGCTGCTGACTGGAGGAAAAAAATCACATGTGAGTTAGTGGAAACGCATTTGGTTGAATTATTAATGGCAAATAGCAGACTTTTCCAGTTTAGCCCTATTTGCTGTTCATGTATCATTGATAAACCCATTATGGTTTCTCTGAAGTGACCCATTTCACAGGCACAAATCACAGCTTTTCTCTCCAACATTCAGCTTTTCACTATTATTTCAATGTTTAAAGCAAGGGGATAGAAAACAATTAAGAATATTTTCACCTATGAGCAAGTTACTTCAAAGGTAAACCATATAGTAGCATGCAGAGCAAGTTTTCCATAAACATTATATAAATGCAAACATTTTACATGAACATTCGTGAAAACCTAAGGTGGGAGAGGGTGATTCAACTGAAAGTCCGTTTTGTCTTCAGCTGGTTTAAATAACGTATCTGTACTAGTTATGAAAATTCCACTCTGCTTTGTCTCTGAAAACTATTTCTATTTCTAAAACCCACTGCCAATGCTATTGTACATGCCCTTTTATCGACACATTTTTTAAAAGAGTCAGAGGTGGCACAGATTTTCATTGGGGTTCGTTTTCATCTGCTTTGAAATGCTTCTGCAGACAGCAAAGGACAGGACTCATCCTTCCTAACTTCAGCTGTCTGCCGGGGGAGGGCTATGCAGAGCTGCAGTCTCAGTAGCTGGGACGATCTGCCTATCTTAACCACTTTAGTTGCTTGCACTGGGCAGCACTTAAACATGCTAAGTTCAGAAGGACACTTTCGTGGGGCAAATGCCACCCCCTTTTTACTCACCTGACATCATCAGCTTCTGAGCATTTGAGTGTTTGGGCAAGGGAAAGCGTTCCCCTACTTTGAGGAACGTGCCACTCTGCCTGCATCCAAAGATGCCAAGAGCCAGCAGTAGTGCTGTGGCTCCTTCTACGACACTTGTGTCGTAACACTGCAGATAGAAAGAGCTGCTAAATCTGTTTATACAAATTCTCAATTAGTATGTTGCTTCTATTGTATTGATTGAAAAATGAGGAGGAGGGGAGCAGGTGTTTTTACTCTGTTAATGAGCACTGTCTGGAAGCCAAGGGGAGTTCTTTCCTTGACTCAATGGTGTGTTGTTTGGATCCATAATAAGTAAAGGACCTTTTTACCTCTGAAGAATATGGGTTTCCAAGATAGTGAATAATTTTTGCCCAGCTAACTATTACCTGGATGAGAGAATATACAGAATACAAAGGCTACAGGAGTGGAAATAATTATTGGTTATTTTTATATCATGGCAGAAATTCATAATCTCAGTGCTCTGAGATGGGAAGCCCTGAGTCATGCCTTCTGCATGCTCCCAACAAGAAATCAGAGTGCTGTACAGAAAGGCCAAGCTATGTCTGACTCCTGTGGGTACCTCCACACTGCACAGCATGGTACACAGCAAGGTACTAACTGTGGTTCAGGAGGAGTGGGTCTTAAAAATCACAGGCAGCTCCCAAAGCGGTTCCTAAAAAACACCAAGTGCTGTGGAGCTGCCTCTGCTTTTGGGAACAGGGCTTGGTTCAGGCTCCTTCACTGCTCCTCAAGCTCAAACACAGCCCTGCCCCATGTTGCACCCAGTGTCCCCTATCCTGGCTTGGTCCCCAAGCTGTGGGTCTGAACACAGTCAAGCAGTCAGTACGGTGAGCATGGGGATAAATCCCTTGGCTGCCCAGCCATCTATGTGCCTCTCCCTCTAACAGCAGCCTAACTGCCCGACTGCAATTCCCTGCCCGAGGCACCACACCGTCCCCTTCCAAAACCCACCCTGCTTGGTTTCATAGGCCAGTGGCTGTCAGATGGAAAGGCCAAAGTGCTTCCAGCAGCCTTAAAAAGCACAAAGTGGAAGGGGAATCTGTGCTTACAAGCAGAGCAGCTGCGATTAATGAAATACTCCATGCAAAAACCTCTCCCCGTTTTTTCTTAAAGTCTAATGACACTTTGCACATGCAGCTGGCATCTCACAAAAGCCCCTTGGTTCATCTCTTTTAAAAACATTCCTCTGCTTCTTGTTCCACAAATCACTTGAATTGCTCACACAGAAATGTATTCTTTATGGAAAAAGGGATATTACGCTATCCTATTTTGAGTCTGATCCTCCTGCATGCATAAAATTCAATGGGAGATACATCACTGACTGAAAACTGAGCAAAACGGAGCCTTTATTGCAGGTTTCTCTGAATGGCTTTTCTGTGTCACTACTCTCTATTCAGACGCACCTTTGCAGCTACACAAATGGACAGACAGACTGTCATAGGCAGACGGTTGTAACCTACCAGTAATAATAATTCAGGAGTCAGAAGTTATGACAATAGCTTATATAAGAGCACATCAGCTTGATTAAGAGTATAGCCAAGAAATATGCAGAGAAAAACGTAGTCACAACCGCTCCTGAACAGCTGGATATGGTGTGTTGGTTTGCATCTTAGCCTGGAGAAAACATGAAATTTTGCACCTTAAAGCCTTCTTGAATTGTGCAGGCAGGAAAGGGATGCCTTACTCAATGTCTTGCTCCTGTGATTTACCTTGCAAGGCAGAAAATTCCCTGTCTCACCAAAGAAACCTCAAGGTACATGACAAAGAATACCGTACTTTCTAAGTATCAATTTTTTCTGGAAAGAATAATGAAGGAAATCAGCAAACAAATTCTGCATTGTTTTTCTGCTCCTGACTTGCCGACTTGAGCTCCCCATTCCCTCAAGAAAAAAAACAGAAGAACGTGATGCAGTTCCCTGAAAACATGAATCATGTTGTTCCCAATAATTACAGATCGGGTCACAGATGACCATGCTGCTCACCCTCGATTCTTCACACTTGGGTGCCTGAAGTCAGCCAGAGGCACCTGGGGCCAGAGACCGTAACCCTTGCCACATCCAGGATGCTCAAGGCCCGTTTTAAGAGACTTTAGGAGGTAACTCTGCCTCCAGGGCCACCTTGTAGATGAGGACTGCAAACTGTGCCCCACTATAAAATACTTGATAGCAGCACAGTCGGTGTTAATGGGGCTTGGCAGAACACACTTAGTTTTATGAAGTTCTACACTGAAAATGACAGAAGCTACCATTACCCACTAAAGCTAAATTTAATTTTCCTCCGTGCTGCTCCAGAGCTAAGTGATACCTTTCTCCTACAAAGATCCTTTGCATAAATAAAGCAAGAAGGGCAGCAGACCTTCACAAATTAGAGCCCTAGCCTTTCTCCGACTTTCCATTCACTAATTGGATTCATACTAGTTTGAAAGTGTCAGATGCCCTTTCCTGAAATGAAGGAGAAATCTCATTGGCATCTTGCTTTGGCTGAAAAATGGCAGGACTACAAAGGAGGACATCACAGCTCCTAAATCTGTTTGATCCATTCCAGGAAGCCTGCGTCGGAGGTGGGAGCACAGCTGCTCCACATCTTTGTTGTGCCAGTCTGACAGAACTAAAATTGATTTCTTCAGAAATAAAAACAAAAAACCCATCCAAAGCTCAGAGGCCATCCATGCACCCATACTAAGTTAGAGATGAAAACCACATCAAATAGGCCTAAAATATTTTTTGATAAGCACTAAGACTAAGGCCTGAAACCTTTAAAAGTTTTCAAACCCTCAGTGCTGCTGCTATGTAAATGCTGGCAACATCAATTATATTTGCATCTAGAAGACTTCTAGAAATTTCATTGAAAATATCCTGAAACAATTTTTACAAATTTACAGACCGTGGGGAGTATGCCGCAGAGCCGGAGATGCTGGATGCCGAGATCACCAGGTAATAAACACAACTTATGGGTGTGCCTTGGACTCTGCACCCTTGATTACATTACATCTTGCTAGGAGCAGTCAGCCTGACAGAACGGGCTTTTTCATGGGAGAGATGCAGAATCCAGGGCACAGAGCTTTTTTTAAAACTGTCGACACACATTTCTATTCCATTCTAACCAAAAATGAGTTTTGGGCAACAAAAAAGGTCACGTTTCCTAAAATCTGAAGCCTTTCCTCTTGGGCCATTCTTATTTATACCATACCTTGAGGACCAGACCCTCTCCTGCTGGAAACTGGCTAAGTTCAGAACATATTGAAGGAGGAGCGGGTCTTGTGCAATCATGATGTGTTCAGGAGAAATAACACAACAAGCACAGCTGCACTGTTCATTCCAGGTGTATAAACACAACAGAACAGGTTCCCAGTCAGTGTACAGGGACTTTAATTCCTCCATCAGCTAGAAATATCTCAGAATCAGCCCTGAAATGCTACCCATGTACTCTGTCCTTAAATCATGGTGAAAAGACAGATGATTTAGAACTTATGCAAGATTTAATTGTTTTTATACCATGCTGCTGTTCTGCCTCCTTAGTCTATAATCGGATGAAAAGACTTCTTCCCCCCAAAGCCTTCTCCTGTCTCCAGCTTACTCCCTTTAAAATTAGCTAGCAGTGATACTGCCTCAGACACAGTAGATGGGAAACCAGTCAAAATTGTATTAAGCATATACAGATTTGGGCTACAATAATGTCCTAGGATAGCTGACAGAAAATGGTATGTGGCTATCACCCATTCAAACAATTTACACGTATACTCTTCTGAAGCAGCAACTTCATTTATAAACCATAAAATGGTGGTTCAGCGTTATCTAGAGGCTACCTAAAAAAACAAAGTCAGAAGTAACCTCTAATTTTCAAGCAGTAGTGAGACTGCAGCGTCTGTTTTGGCAACCATAGAATTTAGCAGAAAACAGGCATTCCACAAATATCAGCCAATACTTATAGTTTCTTAAGCAAACCAAAGTGAAGAGCAGGCTGATCAAAACCCATTTACCTGTTAAACCAGTCATCTGTGTAGCGGGGGTAGGGGTAGGGATCATTACTGCTGAAGTCGTAGCTGGCTTTGGCATTCTGCAAAACACAAAGAGGTTCAGTAAATCAACAGAAAAACAGATGTGCGGGACAAAGTGGAACACAAACTGAGGGGGAGCTGAGAATCATTAGTAAACTTTTCCCTCTTCGTTCTGTGAGATGCATCTGGATGCAAACTGGTCCCTGTTGTGCTGTGCATTTCCCCCATCAGCAAGCCTAGAGAAAGATGCTTTCTGGGGTGCAAAGCCTCCTGTGGACCATTAGAATTTCCAAATAGCATGGCTAATTGTGAGGTGGTGTGAGCTCAGGCTGCTACTGAGGTACTGTTCATCAACACTTGCAAGAGTATTTAGGTGTTGTGCTACTTGGTGTGGCAGGACAAAGGTTAAACCCTATTTTCCAAGCAGCGGTGGAAGCGACCAGACACTTGGGACTTCCACCATAGAATTATTTTTTAAAAACTCATTTGTGGTACTACAACAAACAGTCAAATTTCTAAAAGCGTTTCAATGCCTAAGAATATAAGTTTCTCAAAATTCAAATGTGAAATCTGCATTAGTGGTCAGCACATACGCCTGAAAATCCCTTTGCAGATTTTCTTGGCCCTGTAGTTGTCTGAACAAATGCGGCTTTCAGGCGCTTTTGAAGAATGTCATCCCATGCCTCTGCTTTTCATATAAATCTAAATCATTCCTGATTTTGCCCCATCAGCAGAGTTAAGGACACTCAGCAACTTTTTGATGCTATATCTGAGAAGCAAATGGAAAGTTTCAGAAAGTCAAGTGCCATCTTCTTTCTTCTCTCTTAATGAAAAAATAAATAAAGGGTGACTGAAAATTAAGCTTTTAAAAATATTTAGAAGCTTCCTCTCAAGTGTATGTTCACAGAGTTTATATTTTAATAAACACCATACTCAAGGAACAGAATTATGTTAATTCTTAATTAATGTGTACTTGTATTCTTTTTTCAGATTTGGCTGAGCACGCTATTGAAGATAATTTGAGACTCGAGTATGAATAGCTTTGCTCCTAAAAACATTCCCCTTCAGCAGATTCTCGGTTCCTGGGGTACAGGAATAGACAGTCCATCGGTAGCACCAAAGTCTTTAGGTTTTGGATTCAAAACCCCTAACTCTCAAAGACTCTTATGCCAGAACAAAACAGGGACAACCTTGTCCTTGATCCTTGGAGGGTAAAACTAAGTATCTTTCAAGTTACTGTACAGTAATTTTTTGGGGTGATCATTTCAGAAAGCCTGGTTGCTTATATTCAGCAGGGATAATAATATTTTGCAGCATCTGAATGGAGCAGAGATCTGCTGAATGCCTATCACACGGTCTGATGCTGTTCTCCAGCTCAGATACAGCTGAATCCCTTCGCGAGTATCCTTATTGATCTCTTCATATCTCTGAACTAAGGCTCTGATTTTCAGCCTGAAGATGTCTTCCAATAACGTCAGCTACAGCCACAAATTCTCAGCTCTTCTAAGTCTCTGTGCCCAGGTGTATGTTTAATTTACCTCTTGTAATTACCACAACTGCTTATACAGTACTTTGAATGGCATAGATTTGTATGAGCTAAGAGTAAACAGAACATTACTTTTCAGCCAGGGAAAGAAGGGGAATTTGACAGTGGTCTATAAATCATGAATAGCACAGAGAAGGCGAACAGGGAGTTATTATTTACTACTTCTCATAATATAAGAACTAGTGGGAATCCATAGAAATTATCAGAGGGGAGATTTAGAAGCAGCAGAAAACAAGAAGTAGCACTTTTCCTCAGAACATGTAATGAGTTACAAAATTCATTGCCCCCCAGCAATACAGAGGTTAAAAGCCTGAATGAAACCAAAAAGTGGTTAGACAAATTAACAGAAGATAAATCTGGAAGGGGTATTAGATGCTGTGCTTCCTCCTTCTCCAACAGTCCACAAAACAGTGAATGCTAGAGGCTGGAAAGCCATAATCAGGTAGATACCACGCAGTCTCTGACTTGGTGAGCATACAGCTCCCCAAGCATCCACGACTGGCTGCTGTTGGAGGCAGGATCTTGAGCTAGAAGACTTTGGGCCTCACCCAGTTTGCCTGGCAGAAGCCATGTGGCACAGACATCCCAGCTCAATGCAACAGTGGGAGTTTGGCTTCTTCAGTGCCCAGGGGAGCTGTGGCAAGGATTTGCACAAAGGGCCAGGTTTCATCCAAAACAGGCAGTAAAAAGAAATTAACTTGTCAACAGAAGATCCAGTCCTGTTCTTTGTTAACGAGCATAGTATCTACTCCTAGCAGGACAAGCTGGAAAACCACATCCTATGGTAAAGTCAAAATAGAAACAATGATTCTGAGTAATTGGATCAGCAGATAAAACCTACTCCATCACAGAGTCTAGCTTGGCAACCTTTGGAGAGAAATGCATTTCAATCACAAATTAAAGAAATTTTCTTACGCTACTGCCTTGGACTAGACATGGCCTGGAAACTATGCAGACTGCAAATCACCAAGCTTAGTTCCAGTGATTTCAGATCGTTTCTTTCAGGTAGGTATGGTCTAATTCAGTATTAAATGTAACTAGTTCAATATATTGCCAGCTCCTTATTCAGTCAGAACTTCTGTTTTCACTCTAAAAATATTCTACAGATGAGAACTTAAACTCAGTCATGGGTCAGCTGTGGTTTTTTTCCCCATCTGGAAGAAATGCATTCCTACTTACATAGACCCTAAGCTCAAAGGGGGTCTGGTGAGGCTGATTTTTCAGGACATCATCAGACGTGGAAGCACCTTGTGGTAGCTATCAACTGCCCTTGACTCTAGAATTCCCTTGTGCAAAGAATTATGGATGGAAAAGCCCTTCTAGCTGTGCAGATGTACCACTCCTGTCCAGAGCAGTGACAGGCAAAGGGATTCCAGCACGAATGATTCAGCCACCCTACAGCAGACTGCAGTTCTGCTGTGTGTAAGCTAACCAAATGTCAGCTTATGGAAAGGTTGCTTTAGGCAGGCTATAAACCAAGTTGAGCAGTACTCTTCCACATCCTGTAGCTCTTATTTGCTTGATTTTGGATCACTGCACTCAAAGGAAAAAGATATCTAATACAGCAGGAACCATCCACAAAGTGCAAAATTAAGAAGAATTCTTGGAAAGAAAACAACTGCTGACTGCACAATTTATCTTCATTAGGGTCTTTGAGAAAAGACAGCGAGTTTCAGCTTCATGAAGGAATATTCCGCCCACACTATGGAAGCAGCGGAATGGGTAATGAAACAGCAGCGACAACTACAAATGGACTGCTTCAAGTTCCTAATTTAAAGATCAAATCCCCAAATATCTAAGCCTCAACCTTTTCTAATTTTTTTTTAAAGCATAAACCAGCGACAAATTAAATCCATTTCAACACTGGGCCAAAAAGGGAACTGCTTCAGTGGATAGCTAAAATATTTCATCTCGTGTTTTGGGAAGTGAATATTAAAATCTGTAGTCTGCCATTCTCCTCCACAGGCTGGACTCCCCAGCAGGCAGTAAGAGGGAATGTATTGCTAATATGGAGATTTAATCAGGGTAGGAACCCCAGAGGTGGCAACCAAAGCCAGTGCAGATGAGGATCTCCAACAGCACACTGAAATGAAAACATTTTGCTTTTCAATTCAGGTGATTCAGTTTCCAGTTTTAATGCCAAACTAGTCTACTGGCAGTTACGTCTCTTAGACTTGAAGGGTCTAATATTTGGTTTTCAATATCCAAGGTAGTTGCCTGTTTTTTTCCTCCGGGTAGCAACTCAAGCCACCAGTCTTAGGCACTGGTAACAGACTGCAGTCTAGCCTTAGACTAGTCATTAGGCATACAGTGCTAGAACGAGATGAATCCTATCCCCCGTGTTCAATCAAAACCAGTTCGCTGTTGCAAAGCGATTTGAACCTGATGTTTATCAGTCACCATCTATATGCAATTACTCATAAATAATGCCTATTATATAATAAAAATGCTATTACAGAGAGGAATGGTAGTGTATTTTAAGGCATATCTCTTACTTCTACTTTCTAGCATCTACTCCAAATAACATGCTAACAGAAGAGTACTGGATCAGATGATAAGATTCTTTCAATCATTTACTAAGTAATGGCTTGTATACCACGACACAAATAGATTGCTTTTGCCCGTGTATAAAATTCTGCTTTCCTTAAACATAAGCTTAGACCGGCGTTTTCCAAAGAATTGCCCTGTACTTTTTAAAATACATGCAGTAAAATCTTCCGTGTAAAACATTCATTATGTAAAATATGACAATAACAATAAATCAGTTGTCCCGTGTGTTGCTCAGATCTGTAATAAAATTATGTACCTTGAATAATGCAGCAAGCCCATAAATTTTTATAGGGCTTTACAAGCCTCTGAAGAGTAATTCACATATACTTCTTTTTTTCTCCGTAACTCGGGAAATGTGCCTATGCTCACATGCTAGTCCAGGAGACAAACAATTAAAGACACATATCCCGTTGGTTACAGTCTGATTCTATTCATGACGTTAAAGCACTGGTGAATTTAGCCCAAAGATTTGTATCTTTTAAAAGAAGAGAAACATTTTTAACACAGGTGGCATCTGGTCTTACCCTCTTCAGGCAACTGCAAATCCTCAGAGATCTGAGGCAGAAAGATACCTTTTGCTTGTTTGATTTCTTTACTGATCCAAAGAGCGAGCAAACCCCTGGGCTCAAATTACAACATAAAACATCTTGGAGAAACTGTACTAAAATAACACTGAACGTCATGTGGTAGAAAATGAAATTCAGTTTTGTACACACAAGCTTAAGAAAATGGAATATGCTCACCAGGAGGCAAAAAAAGGAGGCAACGTGATATTTTGCCTAGGAGGGGTGCTTAAAGGTCATTAATGAAAAACAGAGGTGCTGTTGCTACGTCAGTAGTCATACAGTAAGCCCCCTCCTCTCTGCCATGGGAAGCATGCTGTTCTATTTTGTTGTGGTTTGTGTTTGTTTTTTTTTTAAATGGAAATGAAAAAACCCTGCAACTTCTTAAACAGCTCTACCT